AATGTCGGAGTTTCTGGACAAAACAGGCCCAGATCATGAAGAGGAACGGTCTCGTTTAAAAGAAAAAATGCAAGAAAACCAAATCCTGGATGCTGTTTTGAACCCCAGAGTTCGTCTGCACAGATTAGGTTGGTGTAAATCTGTATAAATCGTATCTAAATCCTATGAAATGTGATGATGCTAGCTGCAGTTTTTGTAGCTAAGTGACTTAGCATCAGAGGACCGTGTGGATCATGCGCTGCAGCTAATTCGCTACTTTTCCTCTTGTTTAAAATCCAGACATAACCTTATTGATCGATCCACAAAGCTCGTTAGGTGCAATTTACTTTAGAGTCATTCACACTCACGTTTTTACATCTCTGCCACAGATTTTCTGTCAGATTAAGAGCTTTGTGGTGGCTACTTCAAAACATTGATTGCCTTTAAACCACTTTGCTATTAATTATACAGAATTCTTAGGGTCGTTGTTTATTTAAAAGACCCATTTGTTTCCTAGGTTTAACTTTCTGGCTGATGTCTTGATTTGATCTGTATTTCCTCATAATGGTCTTTTCTTGTGATGTCATATATTTTGTGAAGTGAGAAGTGCACCAGTCTTGCAGCAAACCATGATACTGCCATCCTCGTGCTTCACAGGTGGGATGGTGTTCTCTGACTTTCAATGTTCTCTGTTTTTGTTCTAAAAGTAAAGATGGTCATGGCGACCAAGTAGATCAATTTTAGTTTTATCACACCACAGGAGAGGTCACCTAAAATGAAGGTATTTGAGTGTGTTTACAAATAAAACTAAATTTGGAAATCCTAACTGACCTAAAACAGGAAAACTTTGGTCTGATTTAATGAGATAAAATGGTTAAGGTGTCTTTATTCTTAGTATTCTTAGTTTAGCTTAATTCTTAGTTTATATCTTAGAACTTGTTACTGTTTTTCTTTACAGTTTATACTTTTGTTGGATGTAACTGGGACCCTGTGTACACAATTTCATTCCACCATATGTACTACATGTGGTGCGAATGACAAATAAAGAAACTTTGATTTTGACTTCATGCAATTTGGGCAAACTTCTGGTTTCAGCTGTAAATATTTAAAGTTTGTATGTATGCTTTAGACTCTGTGAATTAGAGAAAACCCAAATAATTTCAATCTTATGATTACATTTCTCGTTTTCAAAAATGATTAAAGTTTTATGTTGTACAATCTTTCTATCAAAGAAAAAGAGCAATTAAAAGTTAAATCCTTGAATTTTTTTGACTTTCTTGCTAATGATCAGTGTATGTGAAGTTATATTTAAGTAAAGTCATATTTTTGTATTTTCTCACAACTCATAAAAAATCTGGAAAAGTTTAGAAGACTGAAACATGTTTAATTTGTTCCTTAAAGAACCGACTGAAAGCTCTACATGTTTTACCATCTTCTGGGAGTCAGTCATAAGGACCTCTCTCTTTTATGGATTTAGTTTCATGACATTTTTCTGACGTCCAGCATTAGATGTTTTGAGCTGATCAGTGAACTCCGTGATAACACCAGTGATGTTTGTGTGAATATAAAGTTATAACTCTCCTTATTGTTCATGTGTTTCAGTGTTCCCTGCAGATGTTCAGCACACGGTGCTGATTAAAGAAGAAGCTCCTGAAGAATGGAGTTCTGGTGTGGACCAGAAGGACCCAGAGATCCTCAACATAAAGGAGGAAGAGGAGGAACTGAGGATCAGTCTGGATGTAGAGCAGCTCAGTGTGAAGGAGGAGACTGATGACACCAGGTTCTCCTTCACTGCAGTTCATCTGAAGAGTGAGGATGATGAAGAGAAACCTCTGTTCTCTGAGCTTCATCAGCACCAAGTGGAAGATGGAGCTCTTCCAACCAGCAGCTCAGCTGACCAGATGAAAGCAGCAACTGGTGGAGAAGATTGTGGAGGAGCAGAAATATCAAGGCTTCTGGAAAAATCAGCTGCAGATTATGAAGAGAAACATTCTTATTTAAAGGAAAAGGAGCAACAAAACCAAATCCTGGATGCTGTTTTCAGTCACAAAGTTCATCACTACAATTTAGGTTTGTATATTTGGATCAACTGTGATGATGTTTGTAACATTTTAGTCACAGTTTTAATGAAGCTGACAAACTTAGTCCTTAAGAATTTGTACAAACCGGATTCCCAAAAAGTTGGGACACTAAACAAATTGTGAATAAAAACTGAATGCAATGATGTGGAGATGGCAAATGTCAATATTTTATTCGTAATATAACATAGATGACAGATCAAAAGTTTAATCTGAGTAAATGTAACATTTTAAAGGAAAAATATGTTGATTCAAAATTTCACAGTGTCAACAAATCCCAAAAAAGTTGGGACAAGTAGCAATAAGTGGCTGGAAAAAGGAAATTGAGCATATAACAAACAGCTGGAAGACCAATTAACACTAATTAGGTCAATTGACAACATGATTGGGTATAAAAAGAGCTTCTCAGAGGGTCAGTGTCTCTCAGAAGCCAAGATGGTAAGAGGATCACCAATTCCACCATTGTTGCGCAGAAAGATAGTGCAGCAATACCAGAATGGTGTTACCCAGCATAAAATAGCAAAGACTTTTAAGTAATCATCATCAACCGTGCATAACATCATCAAAAGATTCAGAGAATCTGAAACAATCGCTGTGCGTTAGGGTCAAGGCCGTAAAACTCTACTGGATGTTCGTGATCTCCGGGCCCTTAAACGTCACTGCACCTCAAACAGGAATGCCACTGTCAAGGAAATAACAGAATGGGCTCAGGAATACTTCCAGAAAGCATTGTCAGTGAACACAATCCACCGTGCCATCTGCCGTTGCCAGCTGAAACTACAGTGCAAAGAGGAAGCCATTTCTAAGCAAGCTCCACAAGCTCAGACGTTTGCACTGGGCCAGAGGTCATTTAAAATGGAGTGTGGCAAAATGGAAGACTGTTCTGTGGTCAGATGAGTCACGATTTGAAGTTCTTTATGGAACACTGGGACGCCATGTCATCCGGACCAGAGAGGACAAGGATAGCCCACGTTGTTATCAACGCTCCGTTCAGAAGCCTGCATCACTGATGGTATGGGGTTGCATGAGCGCTTGTGGCATGGGCAACTTGCATGTCTGGAAAGGCACCATTAATGCAGAGAACTATGTTCAGGTTCTAGAACAACATATGCTCCCATCTAGACGTCATCTCTTTCAGGGAAGACCCTGTATTTTTCAACACGATAATGCCAGACCACATTCTGCAGCAATCACAACATCATGGCTATGTAGGAGAAGGATCCGGGTACTGAAATGGCCAGCCTGCAGTCCAGATCTTTCACCTATAGAGAACATTTGGCGCATCATAAAGAGGAAGGTGCGACAAAGAAAGCCCAAGACGATTGAACAGTTAGAGGCCTGTATTAGACATGAATGGGAGAGAATTCCTATTTCTAAACTTGAGAAACTGGTCTCCTCTGTCCCCAGACGTCTGTTGAGTGTTGTAAGAAGAAGGGGGGATGCCACAAAGTGGTAAAAATGGACTTGTCCCAACTTTTTTGGGATTTGTTGACGCCATGAAATTTGGAAACAACAGATTTTTCCCTTAAAATGATACATTCTCTCAGTTTAAACTTTTGCTCTGTGATTTGTGTTCTATTCTGAATAAATTATTAGATGTTGGCACCTCCACATCATTGCATTCAGTTTTTATTCACAATTTGTTTAGTGTCCCAACTTTTTTGGAATCCGGTTTGTAGTTCTGTAGGTTACACAGTCATGGGGGAGATTGCTCACTTGACAGTTGTCCAAAAGACGACCATTGACACCTTGCACAAGAAGCTAAAGACACAAAATGTCATTGCTAAAGAGGCTGGCTTTTCACAGAGCTCTGTGTCCAAGCACATTGAGAGGTGAAGTGAAGGAAAATATATGGTAGAAAAAACTGTACAAGCAATAGTGGTAACCTGGAAAGTATTGTGAAACAAAACGTATTCCAAAATGTGGGGGAGATTCACAAAGAGTGAACTGCAGCTGGAGTCAGTGCTTCAAGAACCACCACGCACAGACATACACAAGACATGGGTTTCAGCTGTTTCATTCCTTATGTCAAGCCACTCTTGAACAAGAGACAATGTCAGAAGCTTCTCGCCTGGGACTGCTGCTGAGTGGTTCAAAGTTATGTTTTTTAATTAAAGTAAATTTTACATTTCCTTTGGAAATCGAGGTCCCAGAGTCTGGAGGAAGAGAGGAGAGGCACAGAATCCATGTTGCTTGAGGTCCAGTGTCAAGTTTCCACAGTCAGTGATGGTTTGGGGTGCCATGTCATCTGCTGGTGTTGGTCCACTGTGTTTTCTCAGGTCCAATGTCAATGCAGCCGTCTACCAGGAAGTTTTAGAGCACTTCATGCGTCCTGCTGCTGACCAACTTTATGGAGAGGCAGATTTCATTTTCCAACAGGATTTGGCACCTGCACACAGTGCCAAAGCTACCAGTACCTGGTTTAAGGACCATGATATCCTTGTTCTTAATTGGCCAGCAAACTCGCCTGACCTTAACCCCATCGAAAATCTATGGGGTATTGTGAATAGGAAGATATGCTAGACCCAACAATTCAGAAAGATGACTATAAGAGCAACCTGGGCTCTCATAACACCTGAGCAGTGCCACAGACTGATTGACTCCATGCCACGCCGCTTTGATGCAATAATCAGGGCAAAAGGAGCCTCAACTAAGTATTTAGTGCAGTACATGCTTTTCATGTTCATATTTTAAAGTTGACCAACATTTCTAAAAATCCTTTTTTTTAATTGGTCTTAAGTAATTTCTCAGATACTGAATTTGGGGTTTTCATTAGTTGTCAGTTATAATCATCAAGGTTAAAAGAAATAAACTTTTGAAATATATCGGTCTGTGTGTAATGAATCATTATAATATACAAGTTTCACGTTTTGAATGGAATTACTGAAATTGATAAACTTTTTCACAATATCCTATTTTATGACCAGCACTTGTTTTAGTTGTTTGTGTGCTGTACACCTGCTGGTGGTTATTTTACATGAATTATGTCTGGTCTTTACCTTGACGTGTCTGCTGTATTAATTTTACCATTTTTTATAAACCAGTCAGGATGTCTGTCCCACTGAATTTGTTTCAGGAGGTTTTTCTGATTTCCAGCATTAGATGTTTTTAGTTGATCAGTGAACTAAAGTGATTTATCGGTGAATATAAAGTTACAACTGTCCTTAATGTTCATTTGTTTCAGTGCTCCCTGCAGATGTTCAGCAGATGAGACTGTTTGTAGTAGAAGCTGAAGAAGGTATGTCTGACGTGGACCAGAAAGACACAGAGTCTCTCCGTATGAAGCTTCAGCAGCACCAAGTGGAAGATGAAGATCTTCCAACCAGCAGCTCAGCTGACCAGATTAATGCAGCAACTGTTGTAGAGGACTGTGGAGGAGCAGGAACTACCAGCAACCCAGATGTAAATACTCATGAAGATGATTCGAGCTCTTCAGAGACTGAAGTCAGTGAGGATGATGATGATGTGAATTATCCTAATTCTCAGCTGAAAGACTCATCAGATTCTGGATCAGAACCTGAAGACATTGACAATGACTGGAAGGAGAGCAGGGCTCCTGAGTCAGGTGTAAACACTGTCAACAAATCTTGCAGCTGCTCTGAGTGTGAGAAACAATTTCTCCACAAGGAGTCTGTCCAGAGAAACAAGACAGGTTATTCAATAATAAAGTGCTCAAGTTGTTTGGTCAATATGAAATGTTTTAGAGGGAAGGAAATTGGAGACTCAAACAAAAACATCCAGCCAAGTCAAAAATCTTTTAGTTGTGATGACTGTGGAAAAAGATTTAACAGAAAACGTAATTTAAACAGACACGTAAGAATCCACACTGGACAGAAACCATTTGCTTGTGATGTTTGTGGACAAAGGTTTGGACGAAAGTCAAATTTAATAGAACACATGAGAATCCACACAGGACAGAAACCATTTGCTTGTTGTGTTTGTGGACAAAGTTTTGGACGAAAATCAACTTTAAACACACACATGAGAATCCACACAGGAGAGAAACCATTTGCTTGTGGTGTTTGTGGACAAGAGTTTAGAGATGAGTCTTATTTAAACAAACACATGAGAATCCACACAGGAGAGAAACCATTTTCTTGTGATTTTTGTGACCAAAAGTTTACAAACAAGTCAGCTTTAAATACGCACATGAGAATCCATACAGGACAGAAACCATTTGCTTGTGATGTTTGTGGACAAAGTTTTCGCTATAAGTCAACTTTAAATGCACATATAAGAATCCACACAGGAGAGAAACCATTTGTTTGTGATTTTTGTGGACAAAAGTTTAGACAAAAGTCACATTTAAACAGACACCTGAGAATTCACACTGGAGGAGAAAACAGTTCAGTTCTAAATATTAAGACAGTTTTTAAAAACACTTGAGTTCTCTCAAATTATAAACTAAACAGCTCTGGAGTTTTTTGTAAAATGATCATTTGAATAATTGTTTTCCACAATTGCAGTAATTTTGATTTACAGTAATACAGCGATGTTAATGAAAAGTATGTAGGTCACAGGTGATCACCTCTCTCCTCTAGAAGCAAGCAAACTATTCAACTTCATTTCCTAACTGCTATAATAAGTAGAAGAATGTACTATTTGAAGTTCTTCACCCCAAATGAATATTGAATTTTTATGGATTTTTTTTTTAATTCACATGAAACACAGGAGCTTGAAGACCATCTATCCATCCATCCATCTATCCATCCATCCATCATCTTCCATTTGTTACAAATTGGGTAGCGGGGGCAGTAGCTTGAGCAGGGAGGCCCAGACGTCTCTTTCCACAGCCACCTCGTCCAGTTTTTCTGGGAGGACTCCCAAGTCATTCCAAGGCCAACAGAGAGACAAGGTCTCTCCAGCGTGTTCTTGGTCTTCCCTGGGGTCTCCTCCCAGTCGGACATGCCCAAAGCACATCCCTAGGGAGGTGCCCAGGAAGCATCCTTACCAGATACCTGAACCACCTCAACTGGCTCCTTTTGATGTGGAGGAGCAGCGGTTCTACTCAGAGTCTCTCCCAGATAACTGAACTTCTCACCCCATCTCTGAGGGAGAGTCCAGTTACGCTGCAGAGGAAACTTGTTTCAACTGTCTGTATCTGCGATCTCATTCTTTCGGTCACTACCCAAAGTTCCTGGCCTTAGATGAGGGTAAAAACAAAGACAGACCAATGAACAGAGAGCTTTGCCTTACAGCTCTGCTCCCTCTTCACCACAATGGACCGGCACAGAGTCCGCAGTACTGCAGATGCTGCACAAATCTGTCTTGTCAATCTCGCGCTCCATTCTTCCCTCACTTGTGAACAAAACCCCAAGATTCTTGGAAGAGCTTGTCGAGTGTTCCACGGCCAGAAAGGAATCTGTATTGTTCATCCTGGATCTGAGGTTCAACCAACGATCTGGCTCACTTATCCAGTACCCCTGAATACATATTACCAGGGAGGCTAAGGAGAGTGATGCCCCTATAATTGGAGCATACCCTCCGGTCTCACTTTTTGAAGAGGGGAACTTTTACCCCCAGTCTGCCAATCCAGTGGCATTACCCTCAATGTCCACGCGATAATGCAAAGGTGTGTCAACCAAGACAGCCCCACAACATCCAGAGCCTTAAGGAAATTAAGGCAAACCTCATCCACTACTGAAGCTGTTCCGCTGCTGAGTTTTTTAACTACCATGGCAACCTCGGCTAAGGTTATGGACAAACCAACCCCGAAGTCCCTTGACTTGTCTTCCTCCATGGAAGATGTGCTGGTGGGATTGAGAAGGTCTGAGAAATATTCCTTCCACCTCCCGGCGACATCACTGGCTGAGGTCAACAGCACTCTACCTTCACTGAACACAGTAAAGAGCTCTCACCTCTCCCTCTTTGTAGTCCATGGCACGACCAAGGGTGCACACTTGGAAATGCTCGTAAACATTGTAATTCATACATTCACATTAAACATACATACTTAAGGTTGTACTCACCTGTGAAGCGTTGTCTGGTCCGCCTTTGGCTGCTGGAGTAAAAGTGCGCGTAATGCTTCTGCATTACCTATAAAGGAAGTGAGCATTCTTTCTCCAGCAGGTTTAATTATAAATAATTTTAACAAAACAAAATAAGGGCTTTAAAATAAAAGCAGAAAATGTGTGTTGGTTGATTTTTGGGACATCAATGTTTTGTTCTTTTATGTTGTAAAATAAGTGATTAAATGTTGGTTGATCTGATTGTGGGTGGGGTTAAGTGTTTATAAATACAGCCTCTGGTCCTGCTGGGTTGGTCTGGCCTGACTACAGAGGAGGTAACACTGATGTGCAACACTAGGAAAATACTCCGGAGAAAGAAAGAGAGTTGTAAATATTGAAAGCAGCTTATTGTATGTATACATTTTTTTAAATGTCCCTCCTACTCTGCATTTTTGTTTATGGGGAGGTGTGTAAATAAAATCACAGCCTTCACATTCTGACATGCCCTTCATGATTTTTTCCTCATTTTTGGAGTCATGATGATGATGCTTATAGTGCCCAGGCCCACCGCATGAGTTCCTAGGAAGAACCCACGACAAGCTTATAAAATTCAAGGATTTATATTGTCATTCACATCATATGTGGTACATGAGTTGGAACGAAACTATGTACACAGGGTCCCAGTTACATCCAACAAAAATACAAATTGTAAAGAAAAACAGTAAGATCTGAGTCATGAACTAAGAATATACTACATTCACTAAACTAAGACTACACAAGATTAAGAATACACTAAGCATTAATAGTACAAAAACAATGCACCAAAACAACAGCAGCACAAACACGAATTTGTGTGAGCAGATGAGGACTAATGAACACAGAAACATGAAATAATCAGCAGCATGAGCTCAGCATCATGGATAGTCAGCAGCACATATCAACAACCAAGTGGCATTACAGTGATTTTTTTTCACAGTCATTTTCAGTGATTTTTCCTGGTTAGAGATTCTTGAGTCTTAACAGCCTCAGGGTAGAAGCTGTTCCTCAGCCTGGTGGTTCTGCACTTAATGCTCCTCAGCTTTCTGCCTGAGGGGAGCGGGGCAAAAAGTGTGTGAATAAAAATTAATAGTAAATAAATGAATAGTAAATAAAATTAATTATATGAATACAAAACAAAAACCGCTACATTATAAAGTGATGTAAAATACTAAAAACAGGAACATGTCTGCATTGGTTTTTGCTTGCTGCCGATCACTGGTATCGATCACCCATGCTGACACCGATCACGATACCACATGGATTGGCAGTAATTTTTTTTATTTAGCTCAGATGAGTGCTACTTGCTACATGATCTAGAGCATAAGAACAATAAAATCACCTTAATTTGGACAAAAACATGTTTTTATTTACTTTTTCAAGAGACAAAAATATTTTAAAAAAACTTGCAGGCACAGTACAACTATTCAGTCAAAAGGACAACTGAAAAACACATTTACCTGTCAATAACACAATCTTTAACAGACTGAAAACATTAAGGCTCTCAACAGGCTAAATAGTGCAGAAAGTCAAATAAATCTCAAAACATTGCGTAAATCAAATATTGTCATGTAAAAAGGGATACATTCATAGTCAAATGCATGTTGAATTCAAATTAACTATCCTAATCTAAGTTTTGTTTTCAAACTATTTTATACTTTAAAATGTATTACAAATATATGTATCCAATACGGGCAGCACGGTGGCGCAACTGGTAGAGCTGCTGCCTCTCAGCGAGCAGGTCCTTGGTTCAAACCCCAGTCCAGGGGCCTTTCTGGGTGGAGTTTGCATGTTCTCTCCATGCATGCATGGGTTTTCTCCGAGTGCTCCGGTTTCTTCCCACAGACCAAAAACATGTTAGGCTGATTGGTAACTCTAAATTGTCCCTAGGTGTGAGTGAGAGAGTGAATGGTTGTTTGTCTCGTTTGTCTCTATGTGGCCCTGTGATGGACTTGCGACCCATCCAGGGTGTACCCCGCCCCTCGCACAGTGATTGCTGGACATGGGCACCGGCGACCCCCATGACCCAAAATGGAATAAGCGGGTAAAGAAAATGGATGGATGTATCCAATACTTTTCAGCAATTAACTAAGTTAAAAAAAA